CTGTATGATATAACCCTCCATAGAGGACAAGCACCTGATCTGCCATTTTTCTGCACAGAAACTTGCTTTGTATGTTTAAGCTGTCAGTGCATGTTTACACACACATTCTAAACAAGAGCAGGCTTAATAAAGCAGAAATCTGCTGCTGAACATGGATTAGAGATATAGGTTTAGCATTTTGATAAAAGAGACGTGAGTCTATTTGATGATTTAAATTAGAAGAATGCACACTGCATTGGGTACTAGGAAGTCCTGAGATCTAGTCCTGACTGCCACTGACTCGCTGATTGGCCCTACTGATGTTACTGCAACTCTGCCTCAGTTTCTCCACTGTAAAATGGGGAAGGGAACACTAATCTACCTCATGGGCTTGCTGTGAAGCTTAATGTCTATACAGTGCTTCGAATGTGTAAAGCTATATGTGAATGCCGAGGATTAAATTATTATAGCTTGATGACTGAATACATTATCTGTGCGGTCACTGACATTACATGCTGCACCAGCAGTATACAGTGTATCCAACAACAGATTAACACAAGAGAAGTATAAGAGAGATCGCGAACACTGGGTATGTCATACTTTTCATCGGGTCGAGACCATCTTAATAGAGCTCATGTCTCACGGATGTGAACTTCCTTCCTTCCTCACAATCATATAACATCTAAGTAATAACTGCAGCAGTTACTTACATGGGAAAGGAGTATGAAAAAAGTGTTGAAGCTGAGACTGAAATTCAGTGGTTTTGGGTGTCTTTGTTTCACTAAACTCCTTTGAAAATCCCAGTCTTAATGTATTTTTAGTTGCTTTTCTTGTAGTATAATAGAAGATGGATCTAAAGAGGATGCATCTTCTGAGTTTCCAGCTGTCCATGGACCACCATCAAGTGCTATGCAGACCACCAGTGTGCATGGGCCACAGTATGAGCATCTCTGGTCTAGAATCTTAGGTGGAAGTTTCCTGTACTGTAACATTCGTGCCTTCAAAGCTGTGCATTGTGGGATAAGAAAGTTTATTGTGGCCAAAGTCTGGTAGACCATTCATATTTGCCCTTTGCTTTCTCAGGCACGGCTGAGCTTGTTAAGGGAGAGCAAAGGGCCAACTGGTATTTGTTCCATCAAAGGCCAGAGGAATCAGGACTTGAGGGGAAAGCTACAGAGAGCAGGTAATGTGGCTATGGTTATTTGATGGCTTTGAAACGTCAAGGTGGAGGATTTGGTTGCATCTTTCACTAGTGGGACAATTACTTTAATTTCAGTGCCGCTTGGTTTTAATCACTGAGTGAGTAAATAATTACAGAGAAGTGATTTTAACTTAACACATGATGATATTTACTGCTGAGGGGAAAGGTCAGCTATGCTCTTAAAAATACAGACTGACCAGGTTAAATGACCCTCCAAGGAAACAATGAAAATAATTCTACTGGAAACCTTGGGGATACTTTAAAATGGTTACTTAGAAAGCAGGAGTTACTGATGACATCCTTCATATGGGTTTCACTGCTAATAGATCTGAGTTTCTAATATTGCACTGCAGACTTTTTATTAGGCTTGTGCTTGGGGACAGTCTTTCCTGCCTTCTTCCGAATCTTTCGCTTGTCACTTGCAGGATTCATTAGCAGTTAATCAAACCCTTGTTCTTTGCTTCTGCAGTCAGTGTATCACCATCAGTTTCTATTTCAGGCTTGTGGGGACAAAGCACATGCCTAGAAAGGGAACTGTGTCCTTAAGAGTTAAGGGAAGGGTTTCCTTTCTTTTTCTAACTGTCCGTCAGATTGTTTCTGTCTTCTTGTGGACATCTATCCTCAGTGAAGGGAAATGATCAGCTCATTATATGGGACAGAAAAGAGTGATCAGAATAAGACACTGTACACCATTGCGTACAAACAGTACATAGCCTTGGAAGTTTGCTGTGGAAATAGCTAGAGGGTGAAATCCCGGCCCCATTGAAAGTCAATGGGATTTTTGCCATTGGCTTTGTTGGGGCCAGGATTTCACCCAGGGTACGTATTAGCATTTGGGGTTTGTTTTCTCTTTTTTCCTTCCAAAATGTATTTGTAGAATAAAAATACTGTGCCTTGCTGCAGACAGGCAGAAGAACAGCTCACAAGCACCACGTGTGGCTTGTTCCCATTGGTTAGGAGAGGAAGGATGATCACGTGATTAAGGTGTTGGAGTGGGTTCAGAAGATCTTGGGGCAAGTCCTGACTCAGCCACAGACTTCCGGTGTGACCTTTGGCAAATCACTTAATCTCAGTTCTCTCTGTAAAATGGAGATAATACTGTTTCATTTCTCCCACCCTTTTCCCCCTGTCTTTCTAAGTAGCTTGTAAGCTCTTTAGGGCAGGGACTGGCCCCTCTTATGTGTTTGTGCAGTGACAAGCATGGCGCCTTGAACTCAGCTGGGGTTCCTAAGCGCTACTGCAGTAGAAACTGTACATTAAAATAATAAGTGTTTGGGACTTTTAAAAATAGATTGGGCAGACAAAAATGTGACTAACTAAGATCCATCTCTCGTGTGCCATTATTTTCAAGCAGGGATTCACGGCACGCCACTACCTGCACTGCACGACACTACCTGTACTGGCCCTAGGGAGATGCACTGTATGAACTAACTGAAGTTAGAGACAGAAATGACCTATGCAGAATTCTACGTCTGTGTCCGTTTCATAGCTCAGATCTACACTACCCACTTACTTCGGTATAACTGCTTCGCTCAGTGAAAAATCCACATGCTGAAGCCATGTAGTTATACCAACCTTAACCCCCCTGCTCCGTGTAGACAAAGCTATGTCGGTGGGAGAGCTTCTTCCGCTAGGGTTGCCGTTGTCTGGTTTTCGACCGGAACACCCGGCCGAAAAGGTACCCTAGCGGCTCTGGTCAGTGCTGCTGATTGGCCCGTTAAAAGTCCGGTTGGCGGTGCATCGGGGCTGGTAGGCGAGTCCCTACCCGGCTCCGCGCAGCTCCTGGGAAACGGCAACATATCCCTGGCTTGGGGATGGTCACGGGGGTTCTGCGCGCTGCCCCCGCCCCGAGCACTGGCTCCGCAGCTCCCATTGGTTGGGAACCATGGCCAATGGGAGCTGAGGGGGGTGGTGCCTGTGGGCAGGGGCAGCATGCAGAGCCACCTGGCCGCCCCTGAGCCAGAGGGACATGTTGCTGCATCCCAGGAGCCACCTGAGGTAAGCGCTGGGCTCGCCCCCTCCTAACCCCCTGCCCCAGCCCTGAGGCCCCTCCTGTACCCAAATTCCCTCCTGGAGCCCACACCCCTCCCGCCACTGTGCCCCAACCTCCTACCCCAGCCCTGAGTCCCCTCCCACACTCCAAACCCCTCAGCCCCAGCCCAGAGCCCCCTCATGCATCCCAAACCCCTCATCCCTGGCCCCACCCCAGAGCCTGCACTCCCAGCCGGAGCCCTCACACTCTTCCAAACCCCTGTTCCAGCCCGGAGCCCCCTCCCACACCCCAAACCCCTCATCCTCGGCCCCACCCCAGAGTCCGCACCCCCAACTATACCCCAATCCCCTGCCCCAACCTGGTGAAAATGAGCGAGTGAGTGAGGATGCAGGAGAGCGAGCAAGAGAGGGAGGGGGATGGAGTGAGCGGAGGGTGGGGCCTTGAGGCAGAGGTGGGGCAGGGGGCAGGGCAAGGGTGTTTAGTTTTCTGTGATTACAAAGTTGGCAACCCTACCTCCTGCCCACATAACTACCGCCTCTCACGGAGGTGGACTTATTAAGTTGACGGGAGAGCTCTTCACCAGAAGCGCTACAACGGCACCGATGCACGTCTGTAGTGTAGACCTGCCCACAGATTTCAAGGCCAGAAAGGACCCTTATGATCACCTGGTCTCACCTTTTGCCTAACACAGGCCAGGGAACCTCACCCACTAATTTCTGCCTCAAGCCCATAACTTCTGGCTGCGCTATGTTTATTTTTGCTAACACAATACAACAGGTGGGGATTCACTGCATGACAAATGCTCATGGCAAGTTGGCAACGGGGCCGTCCGTGCCAGAAAGGACGGGTGCCCATGATATAAAAAATCCTGAGCTACTAGTTTTTTGGATGATAAATCTTCTTTTTAAAATGTCCTTTAATAGGGCTGCACGAAATAGAGTGTGAGAGTAAATAACGCACCAACGTGAGTGCCTTGGTGGATAACCTTTTTATATTTAATGGTCTGTACCCTCATCTACTTCTTGATTGGGACCGGCAAGATATCATCTCCCATTCCCCCCCTCTTTGCCCCTCTCTTGTCCTGCTATCCCCATTTGAGACCCTGTATAGCAGCCACTATGCTTCTGGTTAAGGAAAGACTAGACAGGGTTTCCTTCACGGTCCAATGCCAGACAAACTCTGACTATCACCACTGCGCTGCAGCTCAAGCCAGAAAACTGCACCCTTAGGTGATTCATATGGGTGCAGCAAATGGACAGAGCCACTCAGGGCAGTCCGTGCTCCTGTAGAATATAAACTACAATGTCTGTGCACAGCAGGGTGAGGTAAGGAGTAAGAGCTCATTCCTGCATATGTAACAAACCATGGCTGCGTGCAGACACCACGACCCACACTGGGAATTGAACCTGGAAACGTTGACATCAGCACTGCCGAACTCTACCACTGGAGCTAAAGGAGAAGGTATATAGGGGCTGGTGCCAGCTCCTAGAAGGAGTGCAGATGATACATGCTAGGCCAGTGTATCGCACAGTTACACATGAGTAACTTACTGATGTGAGAAGACATTTGCACAAGTGTTTACAAGATCTGACCCTAAAGGATTAAGCCTCATCTCTCAGCCTTAACATTGGCCAAAGAACCAAAATGGGAGACAACAAGGAAAACAAGAGGGCAAGAAGCTGGAAACCGGAATTATGGGGCCTGATCCTTGCCCTGTTGACACCAAAGTTTTGCCACTGAGTTCAATGGGAAATGGATCAGGCCCTTGCAATCCACAGGGGCTGGTGCAGAAGTACTAAGACAGTGTGCTTAATTTGTATTGCAGGTAGGACTATGAGTCCCAAGATTACCACAGAGCTGCTCAGGCAGCTGCGACAGGTGATGAAGAGCTCCAGGTACGTCGCAGAGCCCATCCAAGCCTATATCGTGCCGTCTGGAGATGCACACCAGGTAGAGATTTCAGTAGTAAGGATGTTTCCTTCTAGAGGAAAAGTAAAAGTCTGTAGATGGCCACGGTTACTTTTCGGTTTGCTGGTTTCAATAATTCCAATATAAAAGCTTTGGTGAGCCGGGGAATGATGCAAAGGGGAGCTGTAGATGGAGTTTCTAGAGTCTTTTTTCTGATGGTCAGTGTTTATTTTTCTGTAGGAAGTCAACTTTGCTGGTTCTGCTTTCTCCAGGGAAGCCCATGGCCTACAAAGGGGAGCGTACCAAAGAAATGGCTGCTCCCATCCTGGCCCTTGTAGTATATTTTCTAGAGCTAGAGAGCCCTAACCTGGAGCTCTCACATGGAGGGGCTTCTGGGGTAGCAGTAGGGAAGGCAGCATGCAGCAGAGGCCCAGGTCCTCTCCCATCTGTGCCCAGATCTCTGTGTGCCCAGAGTTACTCCTCTCTGCGCCAGCCGGAGAAGGTGACCCTGGGGCCCGCTGCTTGGGTGTTTAATTTTCCTGGCTGCGGTGATACTTGGCTCTCTCCAGAATATTAAGATTGTCTTGATCTGGTGTAGTTGTTTAGCCCAGGGCAACTTTAAAATGTTGAACCCCCTCTTGCCCGCATAAATGTGTATATGCGGTGTCCTCAGTCTTCATCCGAGCTCTGTTTAGAGAGCATCAGAGTTCCTGGGGGGCGAAGGGGATCTTCTTCTCTCAGCCATTTTCGGAGATAGAGGGCCTGACCGCTCACCTTCCCATACCTGGGGTTGGAATTTACCCCTGTGCAAAGTGGGTGTGAAATGCTGCCGCATCAGAGTGTTTCACACCCTTTTTGCACAGATGCACGTGAGGACACAAGGTGCAAGGCAGTGGTGAACGTGGCTGTGCCCCGGGAACACGTGCGTCATACGTTTCCCTTTAAATAGATCAACTCCTCAGTTCTGTGCGCTGGGTGAGGGGCTCCCCTGCAGCTGCTACATTTTGCGCCTGAAGCTACCTCTCTGTCCGTATGTAACTCCAGTTACATTTTGCTACCCTGGAACTGTGGTCACGTGAGTTAAGGAATGTGACCTGCAGGATTCCTGATTTTTTTTTTTCCCCCTTCTCTTTTGGTCTTTGCTACAGTGAATGCAGTAATGCAAACAACCCTGCTTCCTGCTGGGCAAGTTCATCAGGTTTCGACACAGAACAAAACAGTCTGAATGGAACTGATTCATGAAAACGGCTAATTATACAGCTTCATGACTCGCATGTGTCATGGTGGGTTGCCTCCGCAAGGTCTTGTCTGCAGTGGGGAATTGCCCCAATTTCAGCCATTGTTGAGCTTCACCAGTACAAACCCCCAGTGCAGACCAGGTAAACCACCCTAAGCTGCAGTTTCCAACAGCACGGTATAGCCTGAGTCAAGCAGGGGTTCACAGCATCCATGCGAATACTAGCTTTGCTTTTCTACATTCGGGACTCGCACTTGTGCAGCACCACCAGCGACTGAAATAGAAGCAAATCAGTAATGTGGACAAGGCCTAAGACGGGGGGAATTTTATTCCATTGCTTGGTTGCTCAAAGTACCTGCATTTTGCTGACATTTTAGGGCCCTGATACTGTGACATGCTGAGTGCCCTACCTCTCCTGGGCTTTGGTGTGAATTGAGGTCTCTCAGTAGGTTGCAGCAACTTGTCCATGTAAGCTCTAAGATCCCTGCAGTGCTTTTAATGTCAGGTTCCGTACCAAGGCTAACATAATTTCCCCCCCCCCCATTGTATTATAGACCTAATCAGATCCCCTAGCTTTCCAGGTTTACTTGTCCTTTCAGTTCCATAGACAGAGATGCACAGAAGCATATAAACAGAGGGCTGGAAGGAACCTCAAGGGGTCATCTAGTCCATCCACCTGCACTGGTCCCCCTAGACTACCTCCGACATGTGTTTGTCTAACCTGTTCTTAAAATCTTCCAATTCCAGGGATTCCACAACCTCCCTAGGTACCTGTTCCAGCGCTTAACTCTTCTTACAGTTAGAAAGGATTTTTCTAATATTGACCCTAAATCTCCTTTGCAGCAAACGAAGCTGATTATTTCTTGTCCTGCCTGCCGTGGACTTGGTGAACAATTGATCACCATCCTCTTTATAAGAATCTTTTACGTACTTGAAGACAGTTATCCGATCTCCCCTCGGCTTTCTCTTCTCTAGACTAAACTTGCCCAGTTCTTTCCTTGTAAGTCATATTTTCCAAACCTGTTATAACATTTTATTGCTCTTTTGGACTGTCTCCAGCTTGCTCACCTCTTTCTTAAAGTGTAGTGCCCAAAACTGGACGCAGTACTCCCGCCGAGGCCTCACCAGAGCCGAATAGAGCACAGTTACCTCCTGTGTTTTACATACGATACTCCTGTTAATACATCCCAGAATGATATTTGCCTTTTTCACAAAAGCATCGCATTGCAGAGCTCTTAAACAGAACCATCTTTTCCTAGAATCTCGGAATCCAATTTAGATCCTTTCCAGAGACTGCCAATACCCTGGATTGGTGTCTGCTTTAGCCAGTGCTGAATACTGGCTGTGCTACTTAGGCCTTGGCTACACTTGGGGATTCACAGCGCTGCCGGCGCTGATTACACTGGCGCTTTACAGCGCTGCACTCGCTGCGCTCGGGGGGGGCGTTTTCACACCCCTGAGCGTAGCAAGTTGCAGCGCTGTACAGCGCCAGTGTAGCCAAGGCCTTACATTGATTTCCTACAGTGTATTATACACTGAGCCTGACTTGTATCTCTAAACCAGTGGTAGGAAGTCAGAGGGAATGGAAGGGCCTCTTGTGAACAAGGTAGCGCAGTGAGGTGTGATCACTTCAGACGGGTCTCTCACAGCTAGTAAATGTCTGCCCAGCTCATACCCCCACATTTGGGTTGGCTGGATCGCCACTCTCTGCTCCAGACTGGAACAGCATGAGGTGTGGTTGTTTAGGACTGATGAATGGGCAGAATTGTAGAGCAATGGAGGAGAGGAATTTTACACAGCATCCACCTGACCTGTTCCAGCTCTGACCAGTGCAGGTATTATTACTGCCGGGGCTCCTGATGCACCTGCCAAGTAAGTGGCCGGGTTTGTTTGAAATGCTCAGAGGATCAAGGTCACCCCTGTAAAACCAATGGGCTACCCACCTAATTGCTGCTGTACGTTACAGCTGGAATGCACCTGCAGTGCTGCCGAATGCACTCAACACAATAGATTTGAGTGTTAAAGGGCCCGACCGTGCAAACGTTTACTCAGATGAGTAACACCATTAACTTCAAAGAAGTTGAGCAAAGACGGCTCACTTGACTGAGGGCTTGCAGGATGGGACCCTAAAATTCCACAGGTTTGGACAGCAGCCCAGCAGGTGTGGTGGGGAGCCGCTTTAGGGTCTGAGCCGGGATGAAATCCAGTCCAGTTGCAAGCGGAGCTCCAATTAGATGGGTTGTTTCGACCGTGCAGTGGCTCACGCTCTGTGCAGCATTCACAGGTGCACAGTGCTAATTTTAGCACAGGTATGATTATCACAAAACACTGGGTAATCTTAGCACAGTAGGGATTGCTGTATGGAACAGGAGATGAACTGCTGCTCAGATACGGTGATGATGCGGCTCTGTAAGAACCTAAATAGATAGATAGCTACAAAGGGCTTTTGCTTAAGTCATCTTCCTTCCCATGCAGCTCAAAGCCACTAATTGTACTTTAAGGCCCATCTATCCCTTTGCTTAGTTTCAACTCTCCCCTCTCTCCCCCTTTAAATGGTTCCGGCATGTTTCCCTGTATGGGACACTGTCAGGGAAGATTTTTTCCTCAAATTAAGATTCTTATTTTTTTTAAATAAGGTTTTACCAAAGCTAAGACCAATAGAAATATTCCCCTGGGGGAGGGGTGTTAGAAAAATCACTGTTATGTTTTGTAAAGCCATTAAATCTCCCCCTGTTGTGTTTGTCACCCAGACATTTCAGCATTATGTTAGTGCGTAAGACCCGGAAAGTGAAATTAACTAGATAATACCTGCCTATGTAAGTGAAACAGACTGACGTCTTTCCTCATTGTGGGGGCTGAGAGAGAGGGAAGAGAAAAGTAAATAAACTATGGGTGGGATCTTCAGAAGTGTACGTGACTTAAGAGCACTGCAAGTCAATGGGACTTATGCTCCCAAATCACGCAGGTGGTTTTGGAGCTGCCCCATATGAATAGAGAGGAATAGATCCAGATTTTTAAAAAATCTTTTATATTTAATGTTTGAAACATGGTACAGGATTTTAAAAAATAAACACATGGGCAGATTCCAAGCAGAGATTAAAGGAGCCCCAAGGAGCTCAATGATCGCCTTCCATTCTGCTGCACGCTCTGGAAGCTAGACACAATAGAGGATCGGGCCCATGAGATTTAATTTGACTGTAACCCTTCAGTGTTTCTGATTTGTTCCTGGCTATTCAGTGCTGCAGCAGAATCGAGGAGGCAGGGAATAATCCCATGCTGATTTGCAGACTTTTGTCTTGGATCATTTGCCTGGTACTCTATTGAGCCAAGGCTTTTAAGGCTGGCCAGGATTAAGTTGATTTGCTGAATTGTGCTGATAATTAGAGGCAAGTTTAGCAATCCTGACCTCCGACCTTGGTTGAACAAGATCCCAGAACAGGGTGTGTTGGCCATTTCAAAACACAGGAACACCTTGGCTAACAATTTTTCTTCTTCCATTTTGGCAACAGATGGTGGACGTCGGGAGTTTCTGTGTCCCCAGCCTATTCAGTTATTTAGGGTTTTTGCTGAGACTGACAACAAAGGTGCCAATTAAGATAGTTTTATGATGTGGGCACTTTAGAAGTTACCCATCTCTCTTCCTTCCCCCTCCCACTTGTTTCACATAGGGAAGTGAGCACTCATCCAATGGTAACCAATAACTTCTGGTTACTTCTGACCTGGGCTGGATTTGAACAGGTAAAGTAGAAGTAAAAGACTTGGTACCTAATTACAAATCTCCTAAAGGTTTAAAAGTTTTATGGCCTAACAACCTTGACTTTCTCCTTTTTAATGGCATTGTTGTAGAGGAAAAATTCTAAAAAGGCTTCTTGTAAACTCCAGTTGGAGGACATAAATAAATATAGTGGCATTTAAAGATTTAATGGCCCGTATACTTTCGTTTCCAAGATCAAGGAATGCTTGTGTGTTCTCTTCTTCTCACTTTGCAGCTTCAAAGGCAGGATCTGTTTGTTGCCAAATGGGAGGTTGAGTGTGAAATAAATATCAGCAAACTGCAGCACTTTACTGTCTACAGAAGTTGGTGGGAGAAAAGTGCCGGAGGTTTAAAAAAACAGGCAGATATAAATACAAAGTAATCACAGATACTGAAATGTCCCAAAGGAACAATTTTTAAACACTTGTTAGGACTTCCAGAGGAGCAGAGCCCAATCTTATAACTTGTCTGTTTCTCTTGACAGTGTCCTTCAAGAGAAACGAAGCTTTTCAATATACTTGTCATCAGCTGCGTTTGTTGTTGCTGATGTAAATAATTAGCTGCGTCTTCTGTATTCCAGAGTGAGTACATCGCGCCCTGTGATTGCAGACGGGCATTCATCTCTGGATTTGATGGCTCTGCAGGTACATTACCAGAACCTCTTTTGTTGTCTGAACCCATATTTCCCCTGAAAAGAAGGGATCAGATTCACAACATGTATGCTGGATGACGAAAACCTAACCAAAATGTTTGGACTGTTCCCTTCCCATATCAGCATCTGCAAAATTACGTGTTGGCTGCCAGCTGAAAATTATGTAAGATCGATGCAGTAATGGGCTTTCACAAAAGATTGACCCCCGAACAAACCTCCCATAAAGCCAAATCCTGTTAACCGTTTAATGCAGTGCTCGCAGCCTGCTTTTATGTTGCCTAACGGGAGGCCACTATGAACAGATTGTACGTTGCCCAACAGAGCTGGGATTAATGGTAAACAATGTTTGTCAGCCACTTTCAATCATCTTAGAATGAAGCTAGTGCCAAAAATACTGAACTGTGAAGCTGAGTTTATGGAAAAGTTTGCTTATCTCACAGAGGCACGGGATGTTCTTTTGGCTGAAGCATAGGACTGGAAGTTGGGAAGGCAGACTTCTATCCCAGGCTCTGCAATGTACTTGCTGTGAAATTGCGGACGAGTCACTCAACCTTCCTATGCCTCCCATCTCCCAGCTGGAAATCAGGGTTAATAACAAATACTGACTTCCACACAGGATGCTGTGAGGCTTCGTGGGTCAATTTCCGTAAAGTGCTTTGAGAGCCTCCTGTGGAAAACGCTCTATACAGAAATGCAGAGCAGCGGTGCTCTAGAACACGAGTCCTGCATCCCGGCCTTCTTTTCTTCAGCCTGGCGCCTCACCCTGCGGTCAGAAGGGCGGTGGCTCCACCGTCAGACCGTGGCAGGATTTGCCCAGGCTTGGGCTCAAGCAGTGTTTGCTGAATGAAAACTCCGTTTTTAAATGGGTTCCGGCTCCAACAATGTCAGTGTGTGTTTGGCCAGGGGAGAGGAGGCTGAACCGGAGTTTGCGAGCTGTGCTGCAGTCACAGTCTGCAATCATTGTAAGAGAGAAAATAGGTCATGTGATATGACGCTGGGACTCAGGAGATCTGGGTTCAATTCTTGGCTCTGGCACAGACACTCTGGGTGGCCTTGGGCAAATCATTAGATCCCTCTAGCCTTGAGTCAGCAAGTTAGGTAAGCACATGCCTAACTTAACCATGTGAGTAGTCCCATTGATGTCCGTTCCCATTGCTTACATACCTGGCTGAACCAGGGCCAGCGTGCCTCAGTTTCCCACTGTAAAATGGGGATAATAATGCTTCCCTTCTCTCACTCTGTCTTTTCTGTTTAGATTGTAAACTCTTTGGGGCAGGGACTGACTCTCTGTTGTGCAGTTCCCGGCGCAATGGGGCCCTGGTATCAGTTGGGGCTTCTGGCTCTTTCTCTAGTAATGATAATTTGTAAGCCAGGCTTCAGCTCCTCCAGGCTGGCTGGCTGAGCTGTGTTTAAACTGAATTAGTCTGAGGAGATTTAAAAGCAAGTTCAGCAAACCTGGTTCCTGGTGTAGAATGGCCTGGCCAGAATTGCAAAGGAGTTTGCCTCTTAGTTGTGGGGAACAATTAGTATCTCCATTAATACCCAAGTGACGTTAGAACTGTGACCTGAGCTTTCATACGGACTATCCGGCATCTGTGTACATTTCAACCAAACCCTATGCAGTCCATGTAACTGTGATGCATCCAATACCTCTGTATCTGCCCCTCTGTGTTCCGATGAACCACAAACTGACTTATCCCTTTTGCCTCCTGGCCAGGTACTGTCATTATAACCGAGCAAAAAGCAGCCATGTGGACGGACGGACGCTACTTCCTGCAGGCAGCACAGCAAATGGATAGCAACTGGACGCTCATGAAGATGGGTGGGTGGCCGTCCAAAATATTGCTCCACTAATATACAGAGAACTAAATAGCAGGGTATGGGGGTGCTCTATGCACTCTGGTTAATTAATTGCCAGGGCATGTGAATGAACTAAGATCAGGAGAATGCCTTTCAAAAGGAAAATCAAAAAGGAATAGGAGGATCGGCATCTGCACAAGATGCTGCTGCTTTAAGATATGTCAGGGCACTTGCATTTAAGTGTGACTTATATGTTAGCTTGTGCTGTAATTTAAGGGTCTGCGTGAAACCTCTTCTGCATGGTTTTTTCTTTGCTCTTGGAACTACAGTTTATCCCCTTTTCCACATCCAGGTCTGAAGGATACGCCGACTCAGGAGGACTGGCTAGTGAGTGTGCTCCCAGAGGGCTCGAAAGTTGGAGTGGACCCTTTCATTATTCCAGCTGGTTAGTTTATTTTATGCTTTCCAGGTTGGGTGATGAGATTCTGCCTACCCAAATTCCCCACGCTGTTTCAAATGGGCAGAGGAGCCTTCTTCGCTTTCCATGTTACAGCCTATTACTGCTACACAGCTAAGAGAGTTCTTCTTTAGCTCAAGCATTAAGGCCTGTGCTTTTGGTGCCAGATCTCTGGTTCATTTCCCACTGGTGACTGTGATACCTCTGTCAGTATGTCACTATGGCTTGTTACATCTGGATGTTGCTTTTCTTCTTCTCCTCCTCCTGCTGCTGCTGACCACGTGGAAGGGGCCGGGGTGGAGAAGAAAGCTTAGACTTTTCCAGCATCCCCTAGCACAGAGGGAATTCCTGTGTTTCAGACATTTGTGGCCAGTGCTCTTAGCTCTCTCCCCTTTGGCAGATCAGTGGAAGAGGATGTCTAAAGCACTGAAAAGTGCCGGCCATGTTCTCGTGCCGGTCAAAGAGAACCTGATCGATGCAATCTGGATGGATAGGCCCCAGCGACCCTGCAAACCTCTGATGACCCTGGACCTGAGTTACACAGGTTAGTGGGATCCGGCCCTGAATTGAGTGGATTCATTTTCACTCCTCTCTTCTCTCTTCCTTTCCCTTTATAAAGTGACAGGAGAAATATAACTGCAGCCCAGCATGATGTGCTGTTTGATTAAATTAAGGATCTAATTAGACTCTGTTTATTCTATTCAATGATCTTTTTGTTTTGGAAACCAGACATAAGCATTGATTGTGCCTAGATACTACAGCGATGGTTTATAATAAATGCACAGATGTATGTTTCTGGAAAAAGGAGAAAAAGCTTGAAGCTGGTGGTGTATGTCATAAAGGAGCAGTAAGGAAGACAAGCCAGAAATTGCGTGTTTGGCTTCTAGGAAATTCTACTCTCATCACATTAGGGCTTCATGGCTGTATGTCTCTGCTGTTAGTCAATAAATTAGGCGGTGATAACATTTGCAACTAAAGAACCAAACCCATCCACAGTCAGCAAATGTATTGTATTTCACAGGGATAGGCTGGAAAGAGAAGATTGCAGCTCTGCGTGCGAAAATGGTTGAGAGAAAAGTCCTTTGGCTTGTGGTTACAGCCCTGGATGAGGTATCTTGTAAGTATCCTGGCTGGGTGGGTTATCAGATCTCCCTGTCAGTACAACAGAATTTTCTCTCATGGCTGGGAAATGGGAAATCTACCCGTGCCAAGAGGCACATGGTACACCAGAGGGGTTTGTTATAAGTCGATTAACCTGTATCAGAAGCAGCTATGGGACAGGGTCAGGAGCAGTCTCCGTTCTTTACTATGAGCCAGATTTTGCTCTCATTTACATCTGTGAAAATCCAGAGCAATAGAGCAGATTTAGGCCCAGTGTATACAACAAATCACCACACTTGAAAAACAGGCAAAGAGAAGGAAAAGGAAGGTGATGTATAAAACCGCGGCAGCTTGAGGAAAGAACTGACAGACAAAATGTTCTAGCATAAAATATCCTTATGCCCTCCCACCTCCCCACCGGGAAGCGGAAGGCTGTTTTAAGCCGTGAAACCTTGCCATCACTGAAGCAGTACTGTATGTGGCTCTAGGTACACAAATAGACACACCACCATTTCGTATGCAACATTTGTGATTTCTAAGCATGTGTGTGTATGTGCTTGTGATTTCCACAAGCCTGGTTCTAGTTTTCATACTTATTAAAAGGAGTCCCCCGATCTCCTTTCCCCGACAGTCTGCAAACTCCCGTAGCAAAACAAGACTGCAATGGACCTCATCCTAGTCCCCACCCGTTCCCCTTTGCACTCGACTGGCAGCCAAGGGAGCTTAAACAACCCGCAGGAGAGTCTCCCAAGTAGCAAAACCAATGTAGCCAGCTCTAAGCCCTGTGATTCTGGCCTCCCGCCCCAGCATAGTAGGCATTCCCAGGGTGGGTGGAGGTCAGGCCAGAGCTCATGGAACGGCCCCAGGGCTCAAGATAGATATGATCTGGGTTGCTCTAAACCTCAGAGTAGGTCCAGATGACCCATTGTTGACCACACCAGAGGCCTGTGTGCACTAGCACTCCTGCTGCTGCACCAGTGGGTCTGCGCCTGTGTAGGAGATGTCCCAGGAAATCTGAGTGCAGGCCAGGCTTGGGTGTATGATTAGCATACGCTGTAGAATCTGCATCACCTGCTCCAGAATGTAAATGATCTTGACAAATTCCCAGCTTCAGTTTGGAAATCAGTAACTTGGCGCCAGCCACGTGGCATAGTCAGGGTCCTCGGTATTCGCTCCTACAATTGTGAAACCAAGCACAGCGCTTCCTGTTTCATGAAATAAAGACATCCAATAGCAGCGAGACCTGCATTAGCATTAGCAGAGATGGCGGCTTTCTGTCCTTATCTGTACAGACCCCGCGGCGTGTGCGCCACTTTACAGACAAGTAAAACAATGCTTGATCCTGGCTCTCAGGTGGTTACAGTCTGAGTACACCTACCAGTGCAAGGGGTGACCCATGAACAAAGGGGTGAGGAGGGGCGAAGGACAGCGAGAGATCGTGAGAGATGTTTATTGCTAGGTGTACATGTGGTGCCCCTTTCCTTTACTATACATGGAAAAACCCATTCATCTTATGTTTGGCCACTAGATGTTGCTCTATTAAAATCTGAAAGGGCATCTGGGGGGAGGGTTGAAGAGGAGGCCAGCACCATTCCACAGCATGGAGACCCTAATCTTGCTTAGCTGGCAGATTTCTACAGCCCCTTCCTGGAAGCCCCGTATGGGTCTTTGTAACTTGGGAGAAGCAGGGTCTTTCCCAGGAAGCATGCACATACCCCACAAGTGTCCTACCTGATGTTGCAAGGCCCGGTGGACCCAGCCCCAGACTCTTCCACCTCCACCGGCTGGCTCGCCACGTCACCGGGAGCTGCTCTGTCACGCGAACGTTTCCAGGAGTGAGTCCCTGGGTTTCGGAGGGCTCAGCTTGACTCCTGAAACCCGGCGCTCAGAGAGGCCGAGCGCCCGCCGCGCCGCTTGGCATCCCCCTGAGTCGTGAGCGACCTGCGCGTTTGACAAGCAAGGCCGAGCAGCGACAATCAAAGGCCGTTTTGTAATGTTTTGGCCTTAACTTCTCTGTGCCTCCCTTCCCCCGTGGGTCCCCTGGCTGACAGGGCTCTGTGGGAGCAAAGTACTAAAACTTGAGCACTCTCTGGAGAGCGAGGGGTGATCTGCGGTCACGGCAGAGACGGGGAAAATCACTTCCTTGCCATTCTGGTATCTCCACTGTAGTCTAGCTACTGAGCCCGAGCCTGAAGAGATTTTTCTGGCATCATTTAGTACTCACAGTTTTGGTGCCATCTAGTGGAGAAAGCAAATTACTGCCAGTAAAGCTCTGGGGAATTGCAACAGCTGGACTCTGGCTTAAAGCCCTTGTGTGAACCTGCTTTCGAGCCAGCTGAATTTGGTTTTGTTTTTCTTCTCTAATATTGTTGAATTTAAATGATGAAACAAGACACTGATTCTGGGCTCTCTTTTCTTTCCTAGGGCTGTTTAACCTCCGAGGCTCAGACGTTGAATACAATCCAGTATTTTTTGCTTACGCTGTCATAGGAACCGACACAATCAGGTCTTTACCGCGCCCCTTCTTTATCGTTACCAAGTGTTGCACTGACGTTCCAGGCGTGTTTCCTCTGAGAGACTGGCTGGCTCTCGCGTTGTGTGTGTCCTTTTAAACTGCGTGTGCCTCGGCCATATTAATGTCCCTTCCTAGCATTTTTATATTCCACGATAATCCATTTATCTCCCCCTGCTCCCCTCTCATCATTGTGGTGGTGGAGTCAAGAGCTTTTGCTTCTGTTCCCAGGTCTGCTACTGTGTGACCTTGGGCAAGTCCTTTCACCTTCTCTGTGCTTCAATTTGCCCCTCTGTAAAATTGGGATCATGTAAAATGCTTTGAGATCTTTGTACCAAAGGTGCTATAAGGAGTTGCTGATGACTTGGCATCAGCAGTGGGGCAGGTGCTGGAGAACTTTATCGAGGGGTTAACTTAGCTGAAGATTCCCTCCGAAACCACAAGTAACAGTTGCTGCTGTGCCCTGGGATTTTGGGGCTTTGGGTGCCAAAGATCCTTCTCTTTTTGTTTGGTGCAACAAGCTTCGGTAGGACACAAGAATCGAGGCACACAAAGCTACTAGCCAAACATGTGTGAGCTAGTGGGTGGAACACAGGCCTGGGGGTTCTGTTCTCAGCTGTGTGATGACTACGGCTAAGATTTTGTCACGGATATTTTTAGTAAAGGTCACGGGCAATAAAGAAAAATTCACGGAAGCCATGACCTGTCCCTGACTTTTACCAAAAATATCTATGACAAAATGGGGATCTGCGGGTCCCCTCCCCACCTGCAGTGGGGCAGCTGTGCAGTGGCTAGGAGTTCCAGAGGCCCCAGTGCGGGTTGGGTGTTGGAGCTCCAGGGTCCCCCGCCAACCATGGCTGGGAGCTGCGGGGCCCCTGCCGCCTGCAGCAGCTGGCGGGTTGTAGGGTACCCCTGCCGTCTGCAGCTCTGGGGGTCCCCTGCCACCTGCGGGGGATGGAAGCTGCAGGGTACCCCCACTGCTTACGGTGACTTGGAGCTCCGGGGGCCACCAGAGGCGGCAGGGGACCCCACAGCTCCCGAGCGCCGCAGGCTGGAGTCAGAGGTCGCTGGAAGTCACGGATTCCATGACTTCTGCGACCTCCATGACTAAATTGTAGCCTTAGTGATGACATGCCCCCTCTGTATAACTGAGGATAACTACCTCTCAGGGTGATTGTGAGACTGGATTTCAACGCAGGGTGCAAAGTGCAATGGAGAACCTTGGATAAAATGGTCTGGATCAGTGCACAGTATTATTCTTAATAATAGCCTCTCTGTTAAATGTGATTAGAACAGTGTGATTTCCACCCCCTCCCACTTCCACCAGGCTGAAGCACAAGTCACACCCACGTGCTCTCTGCTGATACATTTCTGCAGGCTGTTTATCAGTGGTGACCGCACGGCAGACCCGTCCACGAGGGAACATCTGCTGCTTGATTCCGCCCTGGAGGCTGAGTTTAAAATCCAGGTGGTGCCATATGAATCTGTCCTGACGGAGCTGCAGGCTATCTGTGTGGGTCTCTCCCCCAAGGAGAAAGTGTGGCTCAGCGACAAAGCCAGCTATGCCCTGACCGAGGTCATCCCCAAGGTTGGTGTGTCCTGGCAGGGAAAAGGACTCCTCCTTCAAACCCAGTCCTGTGATGAGTGTTTTTAATTAGGGCACCTGCTCTCAGTTTCCCAGCAGTGCTGGGTGCTGCAGGTCTCGTTCTCTGCTGGAGGGTGGCTTTGAAGAGAATGCCAGACTATCAGAGGGTTGTTTAATGCGGGGGTAGCTGTCCCCAGGGAAAGCATTCCAGCTTGTTAAGCCGATTTACCCAAAGAATTCTCAGATTCAGGGTAAGACAAGAACAGGGGAGGCAGAGGGTTGGGGAGATCTGGATAAATTAGGGTCACTGCGCATGGATCTTGCGAATGTCCCATGCATGGCATAGATTAAATACACCCAACTGTTCAGGTGTAGATAGAACCCAGGGGGTGGGGAGGGTTGTGCTTGGTGGGAGAATCGAAAGTTCAGCTGGACCTTAGCTGAAGACCTTGTCACAGGTGTCATAACCAACCAGTACAAAGAGTGGGTGTAAAAAGCTCGGAAGAACACAAGAATCAGGGATAGAATGGGACGTGTAAAGCTCTTTTATCGATTTACTCAGTTGGATTAATTACAGTAAGGGACCTTTGGGACCTAAACTACTGGGTGAAGATTTAAAGAAGAGTAATTTTCATGATGGTGACAGATACCAATATAGGACATCTAGGACTTGGATCTTCAGAGAGGCTGAGCACCTACATATCCATAGAGCTAGGGCAGCTTCCTCCACCCAACCTTTGGAGGTGCTTTAAACCTGTCAGAGGGTACTTCAGTCCTCTACAGGCCCACAAAATCCTTGGCCCCCTTTCCTGAGTCTGCAAACAAGGGTGCCAATGGGGAGGGCGATTTGCCATGTAGGCTCTTGCCCATCAGTACGAGAAGACACCCTCAGCTCACTGCACGTAGGCCACCAAACAGCCACTGATGGCAACAGTGAGGAGCCCTTATGGATTTGTGCTAGTGACCAAGAATGGAAAAATCTCCATTGCCACCCCATCCCAGCCTTTGCGTTCCTTTAAAACGACTGTGCTCAGGCTCTCCCTTATTAAGGCTGTCACTTGGACAGGCTGTGGCCCTGTCCCCGTCAGAATAATCAGCTGGGTGGAAGGGTCCCTCGTGGAGGGCCTGGGTGAAACCTTGGGTGGGATTTTCAGAAGTGCTCAGTGCTGGCCTCTCTCCACTCCCGTTGAAATCAATCGTTTCCCCAGCACTTCAGAACAGGCTTGGAACAGGGAAGCGGTCACTGTTGTGTGGCTAGAGAGATGCTCAGAATCACTGAGGTGGGCATCGTTCACCAACATAATCACTTGATTTTAAAAAAGAATCGCGTAGACGTCTAGGTCCCAGCCATCCCCTTCCTGTAACTAATCCCACGGGATAATCTACAAGGCAGCTCTACGTTGACCACTGTGTCGCTGAGCCGTTGTGCTCAACAACCACCACTCTGGGTGGGTGTCATTTTTAATTCTTGTCCTGCAGCCACTCTCTGCTGTTCCCAGTGACTCTAAAGGGACTACACAGTGTAGTGAGCGTTTTCAGGGTAGGGCTTAAAGTTGCAGTTTGGCTGAGACACCAGGGTTGAGGGCCCTTTTCCTGCAAAAAGTGCCATGGGATTTTTAAGAACAGCCTAGGTTTTATGTCTTCTGAAAGAAACCTCTCCAGCTGCAAAGGCTGTTTATATATCCGCCTGTTGTCTATTTAGTTATATAGACAAGCTAATATCTGCCCTGTTCAACATGCCAGTTCCCGCGGCCAAGAGAACAGGTATTGTGTATTATTGTTTCTCGAACAATGACATTTGATTATGTATGTTGGCTCTTTGTGCGTTAGTACAGATGGGGAGATTGTAAAGCTTTATCATTTACACAGCAACAAATCTCTTCGATATATGATGGAGCTCTTTGTATCTTTCTGCCAACTCCTAAGAAACATGTGTGCTTTGCCTGATACAAAAACAAATCATCGGGATGTAGAACATGTGTAACCCAGATAAATCTCTCTGCCTCTTTCCTTAGTCAAACCTGGCCTCCCGACAGCGTCAGATACATTGCTCTGTGCCTATCGCTGCTGCCCTGAAAAACTGCTGCAAAGTACTAAAACTCACTCCTGCACCTCTTCTTAGAATAATTGGGTTTATTAATTTTGGGCATTAGAAGCAAGGGGTCAACTCTTCATCTGGTGCAAACCAGTGTAGCTCTGTTGACTTCAGTGAAAATATCTTCTGCCAAACAGCGGAGCAGAACCTCAGCTTGGATCAATTGAAATAGCGCAGTTGAAATCTGTAGCAGGGTGCCATCCCAGAGCACCTCCCCATGGCCTGGCATGGCCCTGCAGGGAGCTTGCCTTCAGTTTCCCCCTTTAGTTCTTTGCAATGATTGAGACTCAGGCCAGAGTACGCAGGCCTTTTTGTGGGGCCTTCATTCGTTCTCTTCCAAATACAGAGACTTTAACCCTTTTAGTCCCATCCCTCTTCTCCTTTGATCAGGAGTCCCACAGCCCTCCTTCTGGGGTCCGGCTGATTGTTCAGGCAGGCTTCTCCTCCCGGGCTGAGGTGTCCCGCAGCGTCCCTTCTCAAGGCTGTGCTCATTTCAGTCAGCTGCAGCCTTAAACCAGCTGGCCCCGTTTCCTCGCTAGGCTGGGAGCAGTCAGTAGGCGGCACTCATTCCCCTGCCGGTGTCTCCCCTATTATCAGAGAGGAGGCAGCATATATATGCTGCCCTCCTTCCCAGGGCTTGTCCTGGTTGGCTGGGAGAGAGGGGATCCTTGCCCCACCTTGCACTACAAGGGTCCTGGTCCCTTAAAGAAACAGTATCCTGGGTTTCCCCCTAGCATTAGCTGTTCCCCTAGGTCAAACCACCTCTCTCCCAGTACCTGCCTCTGCCCTTCCATAGGACTTGGTCCACTCCAAAATCCCAGGAACCTTAAAGGGACATGCCTTGGAACAGGGGTTGGTTGAACCCTAATTTGTACTATACTTAAAGGGGACAGCCCCCCTGTTGCAAAGGCAGTGCAGTTATGGTAGTTTATACAGCTGAGGATCTGGCTCGTAATAAGTCATTTAGGATGATGATTATTGATTATTAACTTACATTATCTTAGCGCCTAGAGGCCTCAGCTGAGATCAGGGCCCCGTTGTGGGAGGCGCCGTGCAAACGTATAGCGAGAGACAGCCCCTGCCCTGAAGAGCATTGGGGGAGGGGGGATAGCTCAGTGGTTTGAGCATTGGCCTGCTAAACCCAGGGTTGTGAGTTCAATCCTTGAGGGTACCACTTAGGGATCTGGGGCAAAATCAGTACTTGGTCCTGCTAGTGAAGGCAGGAGGCTGGACTCAATGACCTTTTGGGGTCCCTTCCAGTTCTATGAGATAGGTATATCTCCATATATTATATTATTATTTTAATCAAAGATTAATCTTCAATTAAAAATGATGTCATGTGATGAAACCTCTAGGAATACGTCCAACCAAAATTGGCAACCCTAACCCTCTCCATCTTCTAGTCTCCCTCAACATGCCTCTCCCCTTCTCTGAGGATGGGTGGCAGCTGGGCTAGGAGGTGATGGAGCCATCTCCATCAGTTTTATGCCAGCGGAAAGTTCTGCCCAAGGGGGGATTCTCCACTGGCCACCTCTGTCTGCTTTAAGGCCACTTTATGGCACAAGACCAGAGAGTTGAACTGTTAGGGCCTGATTTTTAGGAATGCAACTCACCATAGATTTCAGTTAGAGCAGCGAGTGCTCAGCCCTCTGAAAATCAGGTCCTATGTGTCTCAACTGGCGCACCCAAGATTATAGGCGATCGTTGAAAATTTGGGCCTAAGCCTCTTTGTGCTTTAGTTTTCCCATGTGGAGCTCAAAGCTAACGGTTCTGACGTACTGCATGTGGCAGTCATGGCTCTTCGTTCTTTCTCTGAGTTATAATGAAGGTGGTAAACTCCTCAGAACAGGGACCAGCCCTCTGCCGTGTTCTGGCCAGCGCTTAGGAAACCCGCAGCCATCGGCACAGAACAAGACCGTTCGCTGAAGGCTATTGTAGAAGTACAAACTGCACTGGTGCTAAAGTCCAAGATATTCAACATGCAAGATCGTGCAGTTTGAATAATCAGGATGTAATCCCTGCCTTTGTGCTCTAGGCTCACCGCTACCTCACCCCGTATACCCCCATATGCATCGCGAAAGCCGTGAAGAACACAGCCGAAACAGAAGGCATGAGAAGAGCACATGTAAGTGAAGCACCGAGTGCGTTTCAGATCATCTCCCAGAGCCGGGGATTATATTTCCTTTTCAGGGTTGGGGGAGTGTTTCAGTTGGACTCATGTCTGGGATTAAGAAGCAAATAGTACTTTGGATGTTTTCTTTCCTAACCTTCTGTCACACTCCTGCTGCTATTAACTTGGTCTTCTGCCTATTTGGTGCTCTCTTTAAAGCTTTCTGAATCTGAATCCTTCTTGTGCTCTCAGACATTGCTTGGGACACAAGCAAGGCTCTGCCATCCCTTTCTATCTTGCTCTTTGCTGCAATGGTTGCCTTGGTGCATTTCTGTCCCCTAACTTTTTACAAGGACCGGGCGTTGGCTGATCGCCCAACCCCCAGCCCGGAAGAGCAGTGCACTGCTTTTTGTCTGGTCCCTTCCCTTTGTCCTGGGGGACCCTACCAGGTGTTGAAATCCCCACTGGCAGAGCTCTCAGGATAATTGGAACACGCAAGCCTTCCCACCACGTTTAAAGCCCCAGTGAAGGCTTTAAAGCTATGAACAACATGTATAGCAGTGCTAGTCACCATACATGTTTTCAGTGGGAACTATACAGCGTTCCAGACCCATATTTAGCAGGTGAGCCCTGCAAAGCATGGATTGTCCCTTTGCTATGTCTATACAATGCCCAGTGCAATGAGGCTCTGATCTGTACTGGGGTCTTAAGGCATTACTGCTGTACAACCATGAACTACTAATATCGTGGGGTAGAAATAAGGAACCAAAAGTATACTCTCTAAACCCTAGTACTGAATACTCTGGCCCAGACCATTACAAGGGGCTAATCATTTTGGATGCCTCCATTTTTGGCAAGTTGACGCACCTGAAACGTCTGGTTGATTGTCTGAAAGTGCCGAGTTCCCCGCCTTCGAAAAAACTAGGCCCCCTTTAAGGTGTCTCATGCTGGGCTCTTAAAATCGCTGGAGCTGCTTTGGAAAATCATGGGCTCTTGTTTCTCCAGTTCGCCTTCTCATCTATAACCGTCAGGCATCGGGCTAGACAGACTGCTTAGAGATCACATACCTGATCTCCCTGTCAGTGTACCCTGCGTTAATATCTAATTGTCTTTGCATAAAAAAGACTGTTTCCATTGCAGCTTTATAAATCGTACGTGCACTCAATTACTTTTTCTTTTTTACCCATTTTAATATAGATTAAAGATGCTGTCGCTCTGTGTGAGCTCTTTAATTGGCTAGAGAAAGAGGTATAGTATTGATTTCTCATGTTTTAATGTAGGGATTTTACTACATAACAACATTTTGCATTAGCATAAGCTTTTCAATACTATGAATATTCTTTTGAGTAGTTCTGCTAGGAGAGGAAGAAAAAGCGCCTGTTTTTCTCTGATTTTCAGGCTGTGGATTTGATTCCGGTTTCCATCAAAGGTGGAATGAGCTTTTTGAATCATGCTCACGTTTATTAAATGTGATCAAAAGGCAGATTAGGCAAACTCGCCTAAGTGGGTGAGGAAGGATCTGTCCAGGTCTAATATCGGAGATACTGTCTGCCTGCTGACTTAGTGTAGTAGATCGTAGAATAGTGTCGCATGTTACAGTGCAGTGTTACAGGGACATTCTCGAGATAATCTGTATTGCCCAGTAGCTAGGGCAGGTTAGGTGTCTAAGTCCCACTGACTTAATCTGTTTGGGTGCTTTTGTGAATCCCACTAGGTGTCTCTCTGCATCTGTAGATGCCTAAAGACCTTTGTAAACCTGGCCCTAGGTCATGTGACTGGTCTCCTGCTCTGCCATTTGCCCACTGTGTGACCTTCGGCAAATCACTGCATCTGTGTCTCCATTTCCCCCTCACTAAAATGGTTAAAATAAAAGTGACCATATATTTTGTGCAGTGCTTTGAGATCTGTGGCTAAAGGCACTATCTGAGCATGGCTAGCTTTTATATATAAGTATTGTATGTTTTAATAATATTTCCATAAGTGTAGTATTAGTATCTTAGATGCAAATAAGTATTAGTGCTAAAAAATACAGATTATGGAAAGAACTGGTTAAATCTAGTTTGATTTTCACCATTATTTGTTCTGAATTTGTACATTTCAGCGTAGTGTCCAATCCCAGAAACAGCTGCTGCCATGTGTGACATTATTCCTATGCATAATCTCATTGAAGTCAAGACATGCTGTAGAAGCTGTTTGCAAACTGGGGCCTAAAATTCTCTGATTCTGCACTGGTCAGTTTCACTTCCTGGCTCTGGCACTCTTAGCACAATGCTGCTGAATTTGGGTTTCTATCACTGCAGGGGGACAGTGAAATAAAACACCAAAATGTGAATGTCCCTGTAAGATTAGGTTGTGTAAAGACTAAAGATGGAGCCTCTTTCATAGTTTACTGGTTTCCTTTGCTAGTTGGCTTCCGAGGCGCCGACTTCCCCAGTACCTGGGAGGTGCTTGATCCCCGCTCTGCCCCTTCCCCCAAGACCCCGCCCCCACCCTGCCTCTTCCTGCCCCTGCTTCTCCCCTTCCTGCCCCCAGTGCCTCCTGCATGCCACTGAACAGCTGATCGTGGCAGGCGGGAAGCGCTGGGAGGGATGGGGATGAACTGATTGGCGTGGCTGCTGGCAAGCAGGAGGAGCTGATCTGCGGGGCTTCGATGGGTGCTGAGTACCCACTGTTTTTTTTCTGGGGGTGCTCCAGCCCCAGAACACCCACAGAGTCGGGGCCTATGGTTGGCCTGATAACTTAGCCAAGATCTTGTCCATTAGGTTCCAAAGGGATCGGTTACTGAAGTATCAGCTGCGGACAAAGCAGAGGAGTTTCGCAGGTAAAGAAACAAAACCTCAATCCGGACGTTTTCTGGGTGGCTTTTGGATTCTTATTCTGTGTGAATTTACCCTTTCCCTGGTGCCTGTTATCTGAGGACAAGTCGCTTTCCCAGGGTTTTATTTGGGCACTAGAAAAAGAGGGTTTGTGTCTGCTGGGTTAGCATCTCTCGGGAGGAGCAACTCCTGCCTTGCTGGATCCCATTCGCCACCTTTCCCTGCCTTCCTCTGCTGCTGGTTACTGGCCTCTCCCTTAGGCGGGCTGGGTCATGAGATTTGCACGGGGAGGCAGGAGGCTCTTGTGAACTTGCAAGATGGAGAGGATAATACTTCCCCAATTCACAGGGGAGTCGGGAAGGGAAATTCGTTAGGGCTGGATTCTCCTGACTCCTAAGGCCAAGTTGTGCCTTGTAAGCAACATGCACATAGTGGAGAATCGGGGCCATTAATGTCTGCCAGGTGCTTGGATACTTCAGGGATGGTGCTATAAAAATAAAGAATGAGTAAGAAGCAGGCGTGGCGTCTGAAGGCTGAGATTTGGAGCTGGGGAGGATGTTGGCTCCCTAGGAGGTGCGGAGGCCAGGCGATTTGGGAGAAGGCTAGATGGGAGGCTAGGGGCTGAACTTACTTGACTCCTGTCTCACAGTAGAGCCACCTCTAAGCTTGTCCTGATGGCTGCGGGACTGACCTGATCTTTTTATGGAGGGGAAGGGTTTGGGGTGAGGTGAAATGGAGGGGGGGAGGAGGTTGGCTGGCTAGCTAGAGACTGGTTTGTTATCTGAGCTGTGCTGGGGACACCCACCTGCTCTGGTGCGTGTCTCTCACTCACATGTGCGTGTTCACGGTGTTTCCTTTCAGCCAACAGAACGGTTTTGTCGACTTGAGCTTTGCTACGATTTCGAGCACGGGTCCGAACGGCGCCATCATTCACTACAAGTAAGAGAAGCGCAGCCCCTGTGCTCTTCAGCAAACGCACTTCCAATAGCCTGCATTGCTTCCCCACGGAGCTACAGCCGAGGACAGAAGAGTGAGATTATTTGGTTCAGACAAGGAAAAATATATCCCCGTCGCTCACCTTTTTTGCTTTATATTGGCCCAGCTTCCTTCCCCAGGAGATACGGATCCCAGCGCACCACTTGGGATGCTGGCGCTTTGATGCCAATGTTGTACCAGGACTTCATGGCCAGCAGAGGACCATCCCAGGTGGTGGCTGGCTCCGCCTAGCCAGCTGGCTCCACTCCAGTGTTTGAGTTGGAATTGGAGGTGAAGGCAATAGATAATTTAACCCATGGAATGGATCAGTCATCATGGCTGTGCTGGGGCAATGAAGAGGTCCTCTGCTTCCCCCATAGCATCAGCCAAACCTTGGTCTGCAGAGTTTTTTCTGAGGGGAGGGCGAGTTGGCCAATTCTGGCTGCCTCCTCCTGGTGGATGATTTGGATTCCTTGTGTTGTGAGGAAATTGCTAATTATTTTGCAGAGCGGGATGGCTCCTGACGACAGACAGGGAAGAAGGTGTGTGTGTTTGGGGGGGAGGGGAGGGGTTCATTCTGACTGCTCAGGAGTGCGCGGAGATGGATTACCTGCAGTGTCTAGGAACTTGCTCCTTCTGAAGAGGGGAAGGAGTGGGGGAGGCAGGGGAACTGTGCTGAAATGGGGCCGGGGGCGCATGTTGAAGAATGGGCAGAGAGGATCATGTGCCGTTCACTCGGCACATCCCACGGCTCAGGCGCTGTGCAAATTCCAGCATTCAGAGAAGAAGTTGGAGCCGACCGATCTGAACTTGCACCTGACATGGTCGCTCAACAGCCGCCTTGGGCTGGAAATGTTGACATTACGGAACAAACCATTTTTCATTTAATTCAATAGGCCGGTTCCCGAGACCAACAGGGCTTTGTCTGGGAATGAGATCTACCTCCTGGATTCTGGCGCTCAGTACAAGTAAGTGGTGCAGGGTCGCTGTAACTCTTGTTTCAGTTAGAATCAAGAAACGTTTAGTGCGTAAACTGCAGGGCGGGAATCTCCATTGCTTTGGTGACGGCTGCAAAGGGCTAGATTTGGTGCTGACTAAACAACTTGACGAGCTGTTATTTTTAAAGAACACCTGTAATGCAGGTCTTGTCTCTGTGTCCTGAGTGTAGCAGTTGGTGGGAAATTGCACCATAATGTTTAAAAAGAAAATAGTTTCTAGGCCACCACTGTGACTCTAGCTAGGGTCACTGGGCTGTGAAAGGAACAGGTGGCCTTGCTGGCATTCGTAAAGGGGCAAAGGATTCAATGGGCCATTATCGTTATTAGGGCTCGCTGGTATGATGTTTACAGAACTGTCATCAGGTCGCCGCCTCACGGCAGGGCGCGGTGCTGCTGTCGCTCTGCCTCCGTGTCCCTGATGCTCTGGTGGCTTATGGCTCGGCCCTCTGGCTGGGTCACTGTGAAAGTTCAACCCTCCTCCCCCTTCCTGGATAGCACGGTCTAAAGTCACCTTCCCCAAAGGAGTTAGACTCCCAGCTGTCCCACTCCGTTATTGGCTTCAGCTAGATTCCTCTCCCCAGGTGAGAGCGGCTGGTCTGCCCTCTTTCCTAGCCAGCAGCAACCAAGCGAGCTCTCCCCTTTCCAGCCCCTTCCTGCAGTCCAGGTTGGGCCGATTGTGCTTGCCACAGCTCGTTAACCCTCCCCAGCCCATGTGGGATTTATGTACCCCATCACAAGAATGGACAAAGAGGGATTCCCTGCCCAGAAGATGCCAGTATAGTCTGGCTGTGCCAGCTCAGGAGCAGACCAGGGAGAGAGATGTGACTCCTAGTTACAATTGATCTTTGATTCCCCCGTAGGCCCAGCGAGGATGTCATCTGCTAATGCTCTTGGCCAGCAGCAGGTTACTTCACCCTCCAAGCTGTCTCAGCTCTGCTAGCTGGTGCCCTGGGGGCAGAAGCAAATCCCTGTCCGTTCCCCACTCACATGCCTGGGAGGGTGGAGGTACAGCCCCGCCCACCTGCCCCTACACTTCAACTAGTGATGCCGGCATCCTGTGCAGCAAAGTAAGGGCATGTTGGCCAAGTAACCATGCTGCTCACTGTTAAGATGATGCCAACAGAGGGCCGTGTCCAGGACAATTGTGCATTCACTCTGAAACCTAATGTTTGCCTCTTGATGCCCCGTGGAGTCATGGAGACTGAATTCCTGTCTGTTCCCTAGAGATAGCTCAGGTACGAGCCATACTGCTGGGGAAGCTCAGCGCGTGCTGTACTTGTTTGATAGATCAAATTGGTGGACTACGACTCTGCGGCTGTTCCACCGGGACCTTTCACAAGCACTAACTAAATAGATTAAAGACGTTTTGTTCAGCAAGGGAGCGGGGTGGACCTGATCTCTCCTTTGAGAGGAATTGTCTCTTTGGCGCTTTGGCTATTGTTACAGTCATTTATAAAGGGCTTTGAAAAGGAAGCGCTTGAACATACTTTGATATGATTTTTACGAGTTCTTTTCCCCCCCGCGGCGGACTAATTAACCATTCCTTTAGTGTCACAGTGAAAAGCAGCCCCTTGAATAAAATATGAGTTAGACATTGATGGTATTTAGCACAGTACTGGGGCAGAGATGCCGAGTTTGCCGCTGCTGAGAAGTTAAATCCTGAATGCTTTAGGAGTACGACCTGTGTGGGCCAGGATCAAATGTATGCGCAGGAACTGACATTTCAGAAATAACTAGTGATTTGGGGTTGAATGCCAAACTTGAGATGCCTTATGGGGTCTCATTTTCAGAGAGCAGGACTTCAGCGCTTTCTGAAAGATCAGGGTCGTTTGAGGGTCTCAAACTGAGAAGTGAGTAATGATCGGGGCTGCCAAGTATTTATCCCATGGTCAAAGGGGATTTACGTGTCTTTTTGCAGCCATTAGCTATCATGTATGCATCTGTTTTTCTTAAAGAATGCAGCTGTGGATTTAGTCTGCTTCAAAACCACCCTTGATACAAATGACGTGTAATGGTCCCTTCTCAGCACTATTGAGCATCATGCTGTGCATGAGTTGTCCACTCTAGAATTAGTTGCATTTTCGTGGCACTCCAGATGTATAATTTGCGAAATGCTCTGGGATGAAAGATGACATTTGAATGTCAGTCAATACTGTTCCATACGGGGCATCAGTGTGTTTGGGGACTCATAGATAAGGACCACTATGATCCTCTAGTGTGACCTCCTGCATAAATCGGGGTGTTGAACGCTTGGAAGTGACTAGCGTTACAGCTTTATTATTGGGGTAAGATGTACTCTCTCCATTTGAGCTTGCGTTCTGTGACTTCATTTGCTCTTGTTTCGAAGGGATGGCACGACGGATGTGACCCGGACAATGCATTTCGGCACCCCATCGGCTTACGAAAAGGTAATTGGACATCTTGTGTTTGGAGAGCAGGCTCACGGCATTAGAGATATTTAAATGATCATTACTTTTTAAGGAAAAAAAAGGTAAAAATGATATGAAAGTAGTAACTGTGGAGTCAAAGTGGCTCATTTTGTACCATCCATTTGCTAATAAAATCGATGAGGATTCTTAGATTCCAAGGCCAGAAAGGACCATTGTGATCATCTCGTCTGACCTCCTGTATAGGCCATAGGACTCCCCGGAAACAATTCCTGGTTAAAAAGGAAGCTGCCAGGATTCAGAGTGCCAAAATTTAACCTAAGAAAATAAAATATAAAGAATAGCACCTTCCCCATCTCAGAATCCACACTTCCCATCTGGGAAACGATCTGGCTTCCCCCAGAAAAGTTCAGTGGCAATGTGCCGAAAGCTCAAACCACCTTGCTGGGTAACTGACCCTACAAAAACAAAGCTCAAACGGTGAGGTGTGGCATCAAGGGCTTGTCTAACAAAGGAGTCCCACTGGTTTCACTTAAATCGGTTTAAAAATCAGCTCTCTGTGTGCATGCCGTTACAGCACATCCTCAGCAGAGCACCCCCTTTCAGCATTGTGCGGCACACTATCCACGCAGCCTCAGGTTCCCATTCCCAGCTGGTCTTCCCCTGCTCCGCCCAGCCTCCAACGCCTTTTGGGGGGCAGAGATTTAGGCCTGGTCTGCACTAGAAAATTAGGTCAATTTAATGACGTCGCTCAGAGGTGTGAAAAATCCATGCCCCTGAGCGGTGTCAGTAAGCCGACCCAAGTCCCCTTGGAGACAGCTCTAGGTACAAGTCCCTGGCCTTAGCCAGCCTTCTGTCCACATCTGCTCTCTCTCTGCCTGTTCCTTCCCCAGCTGAGCCTGGCTCTAAACCCCTCCCTGGAAGCCTGACTCCTGCCCCAGATGTCTCCATTTGGGCTGACTAAGTTTTCTGGAACCCATTAACCCCTTCCTGCCATCCATGGAGGCTTGGGGCCCCCATTGCAGAGGGTCTTATATTGGTTTAAAACTGGCGTACGCTGTTATAAGCCAGTTTTAAACCGATATCAGAGAATTCACACTGGGATTTCAGCGATGCCACTAAATCTGTTTAAAATCCCATCGTTAGGTAAAATGAATGCAACTTTGCATTTATACCAGGCCTGTCTGTCTGGGTACTTACAGTAGAGCTCCTGGTTTACAAACTATTCAGGCGGTCATATAATCAAAAAGTTCCTAAAATAGAACATCTTAAAATTACAGTGGGTACGGTGCATAAATTGCCATATGGGTGCAATGCATCACTTCTTGTCTTTCAAACCACTGGAAAGCTATTTCCAACACGCTGAAGGCATAGGACTGTTAGGGGATGTCGACTTGTTCTTTGACATCATTTTCTGTTATGAGATTTTTTTTTTTTGCCTGCTGTTGGGAAAAATGGTTTGTATAACTGGTGGTTCGTAAGACTGGTGTCCACCTGGCACTCGGTTTGGAAGGCTTTAGTCCAGTCATTATTAGGGCCCTACCAAATTCACGGTTGTGAAAAATGCGTCTCGGACCGTGAAATCTGATTTATCCCATGAAATACGGTCTTTTGCATAGGGTAAAAGTATACAAAAGTACACGGTGTTTCTGAAACTGGGGGTCTTGACCCAAAAGGGGGTCACAAGGCTATTGTGGTGGGGGGGGTCACAGTATTACCACCCGTACTTCTGTGCTGCTGCTGGTGGTGGCGCTGCCTTCAGAGCTGGGCACCGATCCAGCCGCCATGGTTCTCCAGCTGCCCAGCTCTGAAGGTAGCGCAGAAGTAAGGTCGGCAATACTGTGACCCCACCACAATAGTCTTGCGACTCTCTTTTGGGCTGGGACCCTCAGTTTGAGAAATGCTGAGTCTTAAGGGCTTTACATGTTTATATTTTGCCATGTTTTGTTACAACACCATGAAATTTAAGATTTAAATATCTGAAACCGTGAAATTCAAGATTTTTAAAATGCGATGTCCGTGCAATTTACCAAAACGGACCATGAATTTGGTAGGGCCCTAGTCATTATTGATTCTCTCAGTCTGTATCTTTGTTCTCATGCTTTGCTATAGCATCACCTACTTTATGCGTTTTGCTGAGCTTCTGTTACGCTCTGCTGACCTAGAACATGCAATCGTGTTTTCAAAGCAAAGAGGGAGTTGGTTTTTATCTTCACGTTACTCAACGGGTGCTTTTCGTTGGCAGGAATGCTTCACCTACGTCCTGAAGGGTCATATAGCTGTGAGTGCAGCCATCTTCCCTAACGGAACCAAAGGTTGGTCGCTTGCTTTGTCTCACTTCGTTCTGCAGCTGCAGATTGTTCTGAGCAGATAGGAGCCCAGACGACTGATGTGTTTGGAGAATCATGTGACCATTTACAAGAATATTATGCTTGACAGATACAAGTGAAGTCGGCAGACATAGAAGTTTTGTCTTTAGTTGTGTCTCCTTGTATAACCTTTACATTGCATCATATTTATTGATCTAGCTCCTTTAACACCGTTTGGCAATGAAACTCTTGGATTGGAGTGAAGGGAATTTGTATCTCTCTCTAGTTCCACGGGTGTAATATTTTTATTGCTGAGTTGCATAGGAACAAATCACTGGCCACCTAGAACTTTACAGTTGTCTGGGTACTGTATAACATGGCCACAGCCTTAGCAAGCAGAGATCTCACATCGCCTGCATCAAAGGCAGAGGTGTTCATCTCAAGCTAAAGGAGAATCTCTTTTAGGTGTTAGCAGTATAGGGCCTATGACACACAAATAAGTTATTCTGATTCCATCCAGTAGAGGGCAGTGGCGCACACACACAGCAGCCAGTTCCTTGCAGTGTTGTTCTGTCCCACATAAGATACTCAACAAAGATGTCTCTTTTTCAGTTGGGCTCAGTTTGCATTTCTGATGCAAATACAGGTCAGATTTTCGCACCTGGATGCTGTCATTGGGCAGTCAAACCCCAGGGTTTGTGTGTACCAGGCATGTGTGTACCAGGGTGAGGGAAGGCCATTTTGTCCTCTTAATCCCATCCCCAATTCTTCTGCCTCCAGTGTACCTGGAGCGACCACCTCTGAGGATGAGCGTTCTGCAGAGGCATTCAGCCTCTGGATACTCTACTGAGAGAGCTGGGGGCTGCTGCGGGTTGTTTTTATGAGACAGACGCTGTTCTGAAAGGCCAGGGGATGTTGACCCTGGAATTCTGTAGTTGGGAAGAGACTTGGCTTGCTACCCTTGATGGTGTGGGTGGTGGTCTCACTGCCCTGAGACACACTCTACTAGTTCACAGTAAGCCCTTTATATTTACCTGGTCCAGCTCCCCCTAGGTTGGCCGCAAAGATCTTTCACAATGAAATTACCTCAAATGCAAAAAACCTTGATTGCAAAAGTCCTTCCTCCCAGTACTCTTCTGGGGGCAAGGAGGTGGTTTCTAGCTATCTTCCCCAGCCTGGGAAGGGCACTCCGGGTCACCCCTTTTCCTCCCAATATTGAAGGTCTACTGGCAGACATGCCCTTTGTATTGTCACCTCCGCATAATGAGAACAGGGAGCATTTTGTCCCCCTCTCCAGGGTTTTTGTCTTGATTGATTGGGTGACCGATTGACTGGGAGAGAGAGGAGCCTTACCCCACCCCGCCAGTAAAAGCTCACCTCGGGCTCTTAAATAAATAGTCGTTTCTTCTCCCCAAGACTCAGTCTTCCTCCAGGAGCATTTCTTCTCTCCTCACATTGGCCTTTGCTGTCCCACAGGGTCTTTGTTTGGTTGAGACTACTGTATTTGGAACGGAATAGCCTGGACCCCATCCACCATTCCTCTTTTCCTTAAAGAGCCATTATACTCCATTACAGGTCTGTTTTATAAGCCGGTGACTTGGTTCTTTCTTTCATGTATGCTCCGGTGTCCCGTAGTAAGATCTGCAGGTGCGATCGTCAAAGACTGACTGTGCGCAGCTGGTTGGGGCCCTCTCTAAATGTCTCTCACCGTTTTGCAGGTCACCTTCTGGATTCTTTTGCCCGCTCTGCATTGTGGGACTGTGGTTTGGATTATCTGCATGGCACAGGACACGGAGTTGGGTGTTTCCTTAATGTGCACGAGGGTCCATGTGGCATCAGCTACAAAACCTTTGCAGATGAACCCCTGGAAGCTGGCATGATCGTTTCTGATGGTATTTAGTGTCCTTGACTATATTCTGTAGTCAGATGAGGACCGCTGTGTTAACAAGCTGCTTAGGGAACAAATCTGAAAAGCAATGGGGGTGGAGGGATGTTTCTTGCCTTTCCAGTTGCCAGGTAATTCCTTGTTTAAGATATCTAGAGAGAGACCACATCCGGTTATACCTGGGGTCAGGTGTCTTAAGACCCCGTCTTTCAATTGTGATACTACAGGCCTGATTCTGCTCTCACTTCCTCCTGGTGTACACCAGTATAACTGTTAAAGTCAATGGAGCTATTGCTGGCAAACCAGAGCCTCGGACATATTTTCCCATTCTTCAGGGGAAGGATGGTCTTATGGTGACCACATAGGAATGGGCAGCAGGACTTGTAGGACCTAATCCACTGACTGTCTGTGTGACCTTGGGGCAGTTGTTTAACCTTTCTATGCCTCAGTTTCCCCAGTGGTAAAATATGAGGATAATAATACTTAGCTACCCTGCCCACGGGGGTGAGAGGGTTTGTGAAACTAAATTCTTTCAAGTTTGTTAAGTTGAGATCCTTACATGGAGGGCACTCTGTACAATGGGCACCCCTTAAAACAGAGTGGGATGTTTTGGCCCGTGGTAACTGGATTAGTAGTGTTTGCAGAATTCCAGTGATTCGAACAGACGTGACACACACTTTGTATTCTTCTCTTGAGGTTGGAAGGTGACTCCCTAAACTGGGGCAGTCTGTCTCTCGGAGAGAACTCAGCCTGTCACCTTGCTCGGGCTGTGCATGCAGATTAGACGGAATGGGAAATTTGTTCCCCTCAGTGGGTGCCAGATGTCCAGACTATTTAGCTATGCAGATGAACTAAAGCCCCAGGAGGAAATTCACCTGTTGTGATAAGTGGCTGTGCTACACGGCAGGGATTGGCTGATTGTTGTCTGTCTCTGCAGAGCCTGGGTATTATGAAGATGAGTCTTTTGGGATCCGCATAGAAAATGTGGTACTCGTGATCCCTGCCAAAACCAAGGTGAGTGACTTCTGAGCATGCTCAAGAAGCACCTTATCACTTGGTGGTTGTAAAAACACAAACGTCTCATGGATTTTGAATGAAAAGCCTGGAACTGGAAGCAGGTCAATATTGCAGGTAGTTGTCCCCACAGGTCGAGTTTTCCCACGGGGCTGGGTTACTGCACTTGCAAGTGTTTCACTCAGGGAAAACGTAGGAGGACTTTTCTCTGTAACGAAGACCGAGTCCTGGTCTCTTCCTGTAAACAGATATAATGAGGACAATGCTGGTGCTGCTGTGATCTGCGCCGCTCACTAGAAAAGGTCAGGCAAGGTTGAAATCTGCACAGCACTCCTCCTAAATGTCCTCTCTCTGCTCCGGAGATCCGGGGCTAGAGTCTCTGCAGTCTAGCCTCTTTGTGTCACTGGAGGGTTGTAAAGCTAATGGGTTCCCCCCCACCAGCTGGAGATTCCTAGGCATGGCAGAGTCTCCAGCTGGGGTAGAGCTCTGCTTCAACACCAAAACCTGCCTGGTTGGGGGGATTATGCTTTCATTAAACGCAGGTGATTTCAAAAAGGAACATTTAATTGTCTGCTAAATGTCTTAGGGTGAAATGTCACTAGAAATGCCAAAATGAGCAATTCCAGGTAGCTGCCCCCCTACAAGACGATCTCAGTTTTGGGCTTGAGGGGTCTGATCTGAAGCCCAAATGGAGACTTCCATTGACTTCAGTGGGCTTTACGTCCCACTGTTTTCCCTTCTGAACCGTGCGTAAGCCACGCCAAGCACCGGGGTTGTACAGAACACTCCTACGCAGCTGGAGCAGTTTCCAATGACTAAGGATGTCTTTCCTCGTTCCCCTGCAGTACAACTTCAGTAACAGAGGGAGCCTGACTTTCGAGCCACTAACCCTGGTTCCGATCCAGACTAAAATGATCAGTATCCCTTTACTGACACACAAAGAGGTAAGGGAAGTAGTAGATGGAGGGGAGCAGACTCATTCTAAAGGGCCGAAGGATCCTGGTCTCGTCGGGCTACCTTCCTTCTGACGGTGATGTGACTTTGGCAGCTCACCTAAACTAATCTCTGCTTGACTCTCCTCTTACTCCCTACGCTACCTGCAGCCCTATCATGTTGCTACCCCCACTTTGTTTCCTTTGCTTCAGCCCTTCTGTCATGTTGCCCCCCCCACACCTAGAATAGCCCCCCCCATCTCTTTTCCAGTACACGCCCTCTCCACTCTTCCTTCCTACCTTCTCCTGACCAATAGCCCTACCCACATTCCCTTTTCTGCATGTGTTTCCCGTGCAGTATCTTCATTGGCCTTCGGGCCCAGAATGGTAGCCCCTACCTAGGTGTATAGTCCCATTCAAGGCAGTGTATGTAATGACTGCAGGGCTCTCAGGCCCAAGTATTAAAAAGTGGCCACTGACTTTGTTGGAGACACTCATTTTTAGAGACGCCAAAGTAGCCACGGGTCCAACTGAAGGCAAAGGGAGGAGCCTCAGCACCTCTGAAAATCAGGCCCTAGGTGCCTCAGTTTTGACACCCACAATTACAAGCCATTCCTGAATATATGGGCCTGGCCCTTTTGCCTTCTGCTCTAATGAGCCGGTCAGTTCCCCACTGAGAGCTGACGATGTTGCCCATGCAAAGTGCAGGATGAACAGATCAACCTCCGCTCCCCCGCTTCTTGATTTGCATTAAACGTTGCTCCTGTCCCTTTCTCTAGTGCGACTGGGTGAACGATTACCACCGGAAATGCAGGGAGGTGATCGGGGCAGAACTGAAGAGCCAAGGACGACATGAGGCTCTCCAGTGGCTCATCAGGGAGACGGAGCCCATCACCAAAATGCATTAAGACCAACTTTTTTTAAAAATAATAACTTTTTACATGGTGACAGTTAGAATCATTCAACCTTAAAATCCTCTAATCCCCCGCCCCTCGTTTTGAAAAATGAACGTGGATTGAGGAAGAGCCTTTGATAACCATTTGGAAATAGTGAAAGGAAGGGGGCTTTTTGTTTAGCTTTTGTTTTCCTTTGTGGGGGGACAGGAGCATTCCATCTGTGAACAATTTTTCTGATAATGAGCAAATCTCAAAAGTGAAGTCTTTTGCTTTTGCAGTCCGGGCCTTGCTGAAACAATCATTCGAGGAGACAATAACTGGAGTGTTTTATACATTTTGGTTTATCACTGTGAAAACCCAGTGGTTTTAATTCTTGGGTTCCAGTTGCCAAGACACTGCTGACGTTAACTGTTATGCTGATGAGCCTATGTTTCTGATCAGCTAATAAAAGCTTCAGAGCCCTGATTTGCTCTGTTGCCTTCAGTCTGTCTGGTCTCTGTCAGTAGTGTAACTGATTTAATTAACCTTTAAACTCAGAGCCAAGCCCAGTCCTCACCCACCATGGGCACACCTGGCTTGAAATACATAGACACGCCTTTCCCTGTACTCGGAGTTGGAGAGGTGTTAAGAAACATCATAGGAGTATTCTACTTTGTGGCAGATCTCTGCACAGCATTGCAGACAAAACCCTATGGAGGTGTGTGCATGCAAACGGGCATGGCTGAACCGCCTGCCCGTAGGCTATAGTATTGGTCTGTCTACTTATATGGCGCCGATCAGTGCAGTATATGAGAGTACAGGGTCATGGAATCATAGCCCTTCCTGTGGTAGGTGTTTAAAGCAAACCGCTAAGGTGGACACAAACCAAACAGGCATTCACAATACGTTGTGTTCATAGCTCAAGTTCCAGCTCAGTCTGCCTTTGTTTACCAGGGACTTACTCTGTCTGGATCTCAGTACAACACACAGAGACATCTAGTGGCTAAACAATAGACTGCAAATAAACATAATTATGCACAAGTGCCCTGCACCCTGCCTCCATGATGGAGAAAAAAGTTCCATCCTCCACAACCCACTTGTAGATCGCCCATGTAAAATCCCGGTGCTCAGCGTTTTTTGAAATGAAATCAGAGTTAGGCCCATAATGTGTAATGATATTGTGACAAAGTATTCACTAAAGCACTTGAAGTAACAGTTCAGCCTCTTGATGGAAACAAAAATTCTGAAACCTCCCTTAGAAACTGCAGGAAAACCAAGAGTTTTTCCAGCCAGGCAGTATGTCTGATGCTGACGAGATGCTGCCAAGCCCTCGTAACTCAAATGTATTTCTGTAATGTTTTTGAAGGTGAAAACAGTAATTAAGCCACACTAAATGGCATAAAGCTTGTTTAAATATTCCCCAGCAGTGCTGGAAACCGAAATGCGGTGCAGGTGCCTGAGAACCTGCAAGTGAAACTGACTAGAAATAGGCAATGAAACCAACCAGTCTCATCATTACACAATCCAAGCTGAGGAAAAAAACAAAAGTGAAAAACAAACATTGAAAAAGCCGGCCACGCAGATTTTTAAATTCACTTTATCCAAGGCATAAAAACTCAGATGAGTGGTTTTTTTCGAAGTATTTCTTTTATCTTGATTGTGTCCCTGTAAGGTTGTGATAATATTTCAGTGCAAATCAGTGTTATTTTTTTTCTTGTGTGCACAGTTTTAGTGTAGTTATAATCCTGGGTGAGAAATGTCTTGCTTCCCTTTACTGGGTGCTTCTTTGCCAAATACCTGACATGTGATAGGACATGCTCAATGTTCGTACAAGTGCTTTCTCAACAAATCATCACGTGGAGATGAATCTGTGTTAATTGCCATCCAAATTAACTTGTGGACAGCTGGGAATGAATGATCAGAGAGGGACCAGTTCCATGCCAGCAGCCGTACTGCCTCAGGTTGTGATCTTGTCTGATCCCAGAAACTAAGCAGGGTCAATAGTTGGATGAGACACTTTTAGGGAAATCCCAGCGGTAGAAAGCAATGACCTTGATAGCTGAATTAGGTATCATACACTGAGCCAGTATGGAGACAGGCTGCTGCTGAAGGACTAAAGACTGAGATGTAAAATGAAGATCCTAAGCACTTGTAATTGCTAAACCTCCCAAAAATAAGGCTTTTCAAGGCCTTGGAGTCCTGCTCAGATTCCAATCTGCATTAGCTACTTCCTGCCAACTCCTTGGCTTCAGTTGATCACATTCTTCTTTACTTTGTCTCTTCTGCTCCATGAGTAGAAAGACAGACACTGATAGCAGACTACCACAGGTTAAATATAGTAGCCAAGAGTGAGGCATGTCCCCTGTCCTGCATTGATGGGAAATTGTCCCTCTTGCGTGACCCACATGGGTCTCTGTTAGATACCAAAAGTAGGTGACAGCAGGGAGAAGTGAAGTCTTCTAGCTGGAGCTGGTAGAAAAATGCCAATTGGCTTTTCATGGAGAAATTTTTAAACACTAGGGTTTTTTCCTTAAAGTTCCCACAATTTCCCCCCAACTTTTCAGAGAAAACTCAAAAGTGAAAATTTTTCTGGTTTTTGCTTGTCAGTTTCTGCCTCTCCTCCCCTTGCCAGTGTCACAATGAAAAAAGGAAGAGCAGGGAGTGGGAAACAGAGGGAAAGAAGAGAAAAGGCAAGAGCCCTCCCCCAAACTCTGAAAAACAATTAAAAACAGTTTTTTTGTTTGTCTATCAAAAAACCTTCCCAAAAATGAAAATTTCAAATGGAAATTTTTATTTCATTGGAAAATTTTCCATGGGGAGGTGGGAAAAAGGCTAATTTTGGTAGAAAAATTTGATGGCAAATTTTCAACCAGCTCTATTTCTGAATGCATTTTCTACCACGTTGGGCATATGATCATTTAAGATGGTGCCACAAGGCCAACTTCTGTTCTAGTCCAGCATGTTACTGCAAGAGTTATGGCAGGAAGAAACCTGCTGTTCTGATGATATCATTATATATGGGGGAGGGATTGCTCAGTGGTTTGAGCATTGGCCTGCTAAACCCAGAGTTGTGAGTTCAGTCCTTGAGAGGGGCCCCTTAGGGATCTGGGGCAAAATCAGTACTTGGTCCTGCTAGTGAAGGCAGGGGGGCTTGACTCAATGACCTTTCGAGGTCCCTTCCAGTTCTATGAGATAGGTATATCTCCATGTTGACTCCCCGCTGTGACGTCATGCTCAGGACACCCAGAACTGTGAGAGCCACTATGTTACCCCTCTACCATCTCAAGGGAGCACTTTGTTGCTGCTAAACTCTGTGTCAGCTCCCTGACACACCAGCCTATCTGCCTTGCCAGCAAACTCTTCAAGACTCTGTCAGTCTAAACCTGGCCTTGCCGGTAATAATCAGTGAGCCAGAGTTCCCCAGAGATGTCTCCCTGCAGCGTCCAGTCCTTCTCACTGAACGTGCACAGAAATGATTAAGTTTGCTGCATCCAAAGAGACAGAGCACTCATCAGCCTATAAGGTTAGCTGAAGACTCGCATGTTCTAATGCACAACACTGAGATGGTTTTGTAATAAAATAAGAATCAGTTTGTTAACAAATAACAGAGATTTAGGTGATACCAAGCAAGAATAAAAGACAGGTATGGTTAAAAATCAACCAAAGCACACTCTCTAGTGATTAAAATTTTATCTTAGCAAGTTACAATCTTTGCCTAAGCAGTTTTCTTACTGACATCAAGTTACCAGTAGCCCTAGCCTGCCAGTCTAGGAGATCCAACTTTCATAGACTCAGTGTCCCCTCAGTGCTGTATAACTAAAAGGTCCTTTTGCTCTCCTTATATTACCCAAAATCCAGTGTCTCTGCTGCAAGAGTCAGGAAGGCTTCCTAGGGTGCAGATTCTGTCCCCTAGAGTGAGTGTTAAACTCACTTAAACCTAGGTATAAATAGGTAAGATATAGGTACAGATTAAGGCCTGGTCTACACTATGACTTTAATTCGGATTTAGCTGCGTTAATCCGAATTAATCCTTAACCCGTCCACACAACGGAGCCAGTTACTTCGAATTAAAGGGCACTTAAAATCGATTTCTGTACTCCACCCTGACGAGCGGAGTAGCACCAAAATCGATTTTGTTAATTCGAATTAGGGGTAGTGTGGCCACACACCACCGAATTAATGTGGTTAAAATTAATGGGGTAGTGTGGCCGCACACCACCGAATTAATGTGGTTAAAAACCGAATTAATGTGCTTAGTGTGGCCGCGCACAATCGAATTTATACAATCTGTTTCCCAAATTCGAATTATCTAAATTCGAATTAATCTCGTAGTGTAGACGTACCCTAAGGCAGTAATGCAAAAAGCCTATGGGTCCCAAGCCTGTAAAGACAATAGCTTAGCCAAACTAACTAAGGACAAAGGCCTAATGACTTGACATGAGTAACTCATATTTGACTCTATAGCACGGTGTGAGGTTATAAGTAAGTGTTGCTAAACCGCTGACCAGTAACCACAAGTTGTCATTTGGTATCAGCGGTAGCTGTGTTAAGTTAGGAACATCAGCAGATGTGTGACCACAAGCATGACATAGTAACTAACTACTGTATATGCTAATAAACTTGAGGTGAAAGGCCCAGTAACCTCTGGGTAAGGTTAAGATTCTGACATGGGTATTTTTAGTAAAAGTCAGGGACAGGTCGTGGGCAATAAAAAATTCACAGAAGCCCGTAATCTGTCCCCGATTTTTACTAAAAATATCTTGGGAAGCGGGGGGGGGGGGGGGGGGGGGGGGGGGGGGGAGACAAATAGAGCCCTGCTGGGGGCTTGCAGCTGCTCCAGTCCTGCTGCTTCTATGGCAGGGGCTGGCCACTGTTGCTCCAGCCCCAGGAATGCTGACTCACCCCCAGCTGCTGCTTCAGCCCTGGGGCCAGTGCTCTGTCGGCCCCGGGATTGACAGCTGCTCCCGCCCTGCTCCAGAAGAAGTCACGGAGGGCCTGGAAAGGCATGGAATCCGTGACCTCCATGACAGAATCGTATCCTTACCTATGGGAGAAGGTCACCCCAACACTAGTCGGGTGATGAAATGCAGAGAGGGCAAAGGGACTGACTATACATTTGGCATAGTGGGGGTCAGTGTAACACATTATAAAAGCTGTGTCCTAACCAGCGTGCCTGGGGAGACGCCAGGATGCCGACTGCTGGTGGTGCTGAGAATGATGACTAACACATCAGGTTTTTCCACAAGGGCTGGTGTGAGTACATGGATGCTCAGAGGTGGGACATTTTGACCATTCTGTATTATCTCTGTCTACTTTTCTGGGTTGGTATGTTTGTGCTTTTGCTACCTGTGCTAATAAAACTATTACAAGGCCAGAACCGATTTCCTAAGTGTGATTGTCTCTCTTGTGCACACAGGGTCCTCGTCATAACTCAAATACTGTTGGGTCTGATCACCAGGCAGAACCCTGCTGAACTACGGAGTGTTAATTGGCTTTTCTGATTCATCACTATAACTAATACATAATCAGTATATTAGCCAGCATCTTCCCTGTGTGTTTAGCTTGATGGCTTTATGTAAATGCACTTTCATTATCCTCTGCCAGTAGTCAAGCTGGTCAGACAGGTAAATACACATTCCTTTGTCTAGGGTCGGCTGGCTTTATGCACTGCTGCCCAAACGCATTTTTCAAACATATTTCCAGCACACATCTGTAGCTCTTTGTACACAACAAGTACATACAGCACGCAATGACTTCTGGGACCAGCGTGTCCCCAGTTTACACATGGTACCTTACACGACACCTTGGAGCTACATATTATGGCAAAAGCGTGTTGGGGCTATGGCCTGGTCTACACTGGGGGGTGGGGGGTGGGGAATCGATCTAAGTTACGCAACTTCAGCTACGTGAATAACATAGCTGAAGTCGATGTACTTAGATCTACTTACCGCGGTGTCTTCACTGCGGTAAGTCGATGGCTGACGCTCCCCCGTCGACTCCGCCTGCTCCTTTCACTCTGGTGGAGTACCGGAGTCTACGGGAGAGTGCTCGGCGGTCGATTTTATCGCGTCTAGACTAGATGCGATAAATCAACCCCCACTGGATCGATCGCTGCCTGTCGATCCAGCGGGTAATGTAGACAAGCCCTATAAGTGTGTTGGGCCTGATGTGAGTTACAGTATTCGGGGGGGAGGGAGCCCTCTACCATTTGGCATTGAGGGCATCTCAGTGTCACACCCATTGAAGTCAATGGGTAGTTTTGCTTAGCCATCGATAGCATCGTACGACTCAAGCTTTTGGGGCCAGCTCTTCAGCTGGTGTAAACTGGGGCAACACCATCTCAATGGCACAATCCCACTTTACATCAGCTGAGGCATTGGCGCCCTGTGTATACAAGTAGTGCTACTGGAGTAGTAAGAATATTAGCAAGCTGGAGGCATTCTCCAACTGCATTTGGGGGCCATAAAGTTTTTCGTTGCCCTTCCAGTGAAAATGTTACGAGAGGAGCCGGTGCTTATTTTTCACCTAGGAAAATCCCCAGAGGGGTCTCTGCTCAATCAAAAATCATGACCGGAGCTTGGGCACTGAGTAGTGGCAGCATGCCCATTGCTAGCCAAGGTTTTTCAGACAAATAGACCATTTCTCCTTGAGTCGGAAGCTTCGTGTTCATTTATCACAGGCAGAGAGCTCCGACAGCCTGTAAGTGTTTGAGTAGCTGTCTCCTATGAAATCTTGCCCTCTGCTCAGTCTTATCTTAAGTGTCCCTGGCAGGGGCGAAATTCAGTTGTTTTGGAGCTTAAATGGCTCATAACTCACCTGCAATGGGAACTCCAATATTTGCTCACGCGACTATTAAATCTGTCACTTCCCCCAAGGCAGCAATTGGCCCTAGTCTTGATTTAAGCCGACCAGGCCTCAAAAAGCCAAATGCGTCCAAGAACGGTGGGATTTAGGAGCTCCTTGGCAAATCCACCTAAGTGAGTTTGGCATTTAGGCTGAAAAAGATAAATTAGCTGAGAACACCCTATACAGTTGGAGAGCCGGGCTACAAAATGGCATCATTCCAGAGAACTGAGGCAAGATGGAGAAGCTGGCTTCCCC